TAGGCTCCCTTTTAGGGTCCTCTTTTATAAGGGTGCCATACTATCGGGACCTAAACCCAGAGGGTCCATAAATACTACTACTATGGAATTAGGCCCCCAAAAGACCATCCCTATTATGGTTTTGGGATCTATAATTCCATAATAGTAATATATATATATATATATATGGACCCTTTTGGAAAAAGGGACCCTACTTTAGAGAACTACCCATGTCATCAATCCGTACCGAACCCAAAAAACCTGGCAAAACTCACAAAAATTACCTTGAGTCTCAGTGAGCATTTTCCTTCCGAGCCACGTCCACGAGGAGCCAAGCCCACTCTTCCTGGCTTTCTGGAGGACGGTCTAGGGGTTCAGAATTGAAGGGTTCACCCTAAGGCTCGAAGGACTCATATTTGGAGGCTTTTGGGTTTGGGGCTTAGGGGTTTTGGGGGTCTACGGTTTAGGGTTTAGGGTTTAGGGCTTACCTTAACCCCAAATAACCTACGTATTTTAAGACTTACCCTAAGGGGGTCCTTTAAGGCTTCTATAAGGGTGCCGTAAGGGTATAGGGTTGAGGGGTCCCATGTACCCAAATAGAATAATAGTTTGGCCCCACAGTACCTAAATAGGGACTACTTTAAGGCCAATGTATATACTATTCGGGTACATGGACCCCTCGAATTATAGAAGAAAGTCATATTCAGGTTCTTTAGGATCCAGGTAGGGTTTAAGTAGGAGTTAAGACTCAGGCTACTCTTGGCGAGATAGACCCTCTCAGCAAGGTCCCTGTTAAGAGAGCCAGAAGTAGGGTTAAGAAGGGTCCCATTCAAGGGGTCTGCCGTATACTACCTAGGGTAAACCTCTACACTTTCATGTCCCGCCCGTGGTCCTCGCAGAGGATTCGAGGGCCCCCCGCAAGAAAGCGCAGCACCAACTCCACTGTGAAGAACCACCTTGCACTTCTTGAAATTTTGGAGTTTAAGGTTCAGGGTGTAGGGTTTAGGTTTAGGTTTTAGGGTTTAGGGTTTCATGAAATTTGGGGCTTACTTGGTATCTAAACCAGGCCATCAGCAACACAAGGCAGATGTAACGGGCTGTAGCAACCATCAGGAGCCGAGAGCACTGCCGCTCCTAAGCCTGACCCCTAAACCCAAAACCCGATTTGGGACTTTCCGAAAATTAGGGGTAGTTCACTTATTTTGGAGTCCTTAACATAAGGATCCTACTTTTTAGGGTACGACATAAGAGGGGCCCCTATTTTCGGAAACCCCATTTAGTTGTGAGGAAGTATCCGATCCTGAAACAGCTGATAGGGTTTAGCTCTTTCTACCGATCCTTATAAAGCTGATAAGGTTTGGCTCTTTTCTTTGCGGACCCTTTTAGGGCGTTTTGGGGTTAAGTTTAGGGCTTGGTGCACTACTTGCCCATCACAAGGAATGTTAAGACCTCTCACCTAAGGTAGTGTAGGACCTTGTCCATCAGCCGTATCTCGTCTTTCGCCGCTCCGGTTTATCAGTCTATCCATGCTCACAAGCCAACACGGCACGCTACTGCAGAAGCCCAGTTCTTAACATAGTGCGATACTGTCCTTGGGGCTTGTCATAAACCAAGTCTTTACATGTATAGGACAGTAACCCACCGTCGAGGTAGCTGGGCGTGTACCCTAAGGGTCCACACGTGCTAATATAGTATTTTCCGCAACACAAAGACATACATTATACAGGAAGTATTTTCCCTAAGACTCCAAAAATGGCCCAAAGTAGGTACCATGCAAAGACTTGAGACCCCAAAGTAGGTACTATTTGTATACTTGGAGTCTTAGGGTTTGAGCCGTAGGTATAGACTGCAGGCTGACATGCACCCCTGGGGCTACTTGGAGGCTCATGGGACTTAGTAAGTAAGGTTATAAGTACCTCATGTGGGGTTAGAAGTACTTATAAGTATAGTTACCTTATTTACAACCCTAGTTACTAAGTCCCATGATCCTTTAAGTAGGGAACTATCCAGTTCACAGGCTCAGCGGCGTGTAGATCGTGGCGAGAATGAAGAAGATTTCAGGTTGCGCAACGCCTGTCGTCACATGCTTCACCAAGCAACCCGGCCTTAGGATTTTTAAAGTCTTAGGGTCTTAGGGTTTGGGGTTTATAGGGTCTATTTAGCTGCCCACTACCCTGTTTAGAGTTTAGGGTTTAGCGTTTAGGGGCCAAAACAAGAAGCATGGTGTTCGTAGACGTGTCCTTCGCAAGGGGGTATAGCCCAAAGGGGCCATGTACCGTGCGTGTGCCTTGACTTGGGTACTGTAAGAAACCCTAAACCCTAAACTCCCTAAACCCCTAAACCCCTAAACCCCTAAACTCTAAACCCCAAACCGGGGTTCTCTGTCCGCAATGGCGTGCAAATCCTGCTCGGTGGTTGGGACATTGCCTAGAGGCTCCGTATACACTACTATTAGGGAACTAGGCTCCCCAAAACCATAATAAGCATGGTCTTTTGGGGCCCAATGCCATAATGGTAGTCTTTCTGGAGCCTCTGGGTTGGTGTTCAACTTCTTCACCAAGATTCCACTCATAAGGCATACTGTGGGCTACTGGGCTGTGGTAGGACAGAGTTTATATAGAGTTTAAGGAACAGTCATACATATGCACCATAAATCCTAAACTCCCAAGGGCAGCTCTCTAGAATATGGGGTCCCTTTTTAGTTCCCCCAAAAAAATAGCGCGGCACCCTTATAGCAAAGACCCCTAAACGGGACCCTAACTAAAACCAACTACCCATAGGCCCCTAAGTAGTTCCTTCTTATGGCTATATTTAGATTCCTATAAGGCAATATCAAAAAGGAACTTTAGGGGTTTAGGGTTTAGGGGTTTAGGGTTTAGGGTGGTGCCCTGTGGAAGTCCAGTTATATGGTGGGTTGCTGTTCCTTATAGAGCCTAAATGCACCTGGTACTACTTGGGGGATCCTGGGACTTGGTAAGTAACCCTAAGGGTCCAAGTACCCAAATAGTAGGGTTTCAAGGTCCCAAAACCATTCAGAGTATGGATTTTGGGACCTAGAACCTTACTATTTGGGTACTCGGGCCCTCTGGGTAAGGTTATAAGTACCTTAATTGGGGTTATATGTAATTATAAATATAGTTACCTCACTTATAAGGGGCTCAGAACATCGGCACCAGCGCCGAATTGCTAGGCCCCCAGTGCACAAGGCTGCACGACATAGGCTGTGCTCCGGGATCATAGGGAAACATCCCCCATCTCCAAATTGGCATCGGCGGCTCCGGAGGGCTCGCTCCAAGGTCCGTCTCCAACTTCGCCTCGGCCTGCCAGTTAGTCGCCGAAAGCGGCTTGTGGTGGACACCCACCACTCGGCACCACGACATCCCAGCATGGGCAGAGGAGGCCGAGCACAACAGGAAAGAGCCCAAGCAGAATGGGCAAGAGAATGGGCAGATCCACAGTCGGTGCGATACTGGCGTGGCTCCTGGGGACGCAAGGATTCGGCCCAGGAGACATCCTTTCCTCGATACGACTCTACAGCGTGGCCGACGACCGAGCAGAGTACCAAAGGCAAGGGAAAGCAACAAGGCTCCTGGGACAGGGAGCCCAGTCCTGGGGGACAACTGGTACCCGATATGCAGGAGCTCTTGAATCACACCAGGAGAGCGGAACAGCGAGTCCGCCAGCTAGCCAAGCAGAAGGAGGCCAAAGCGGCGCAATGGAAGGCCTATGTGGCGAAGATCAAGAAGGCTTACCTCGAAGAGAGCCAACGCCACAACAAGGATCTCCAGCGTGTGACCGACGACCTCTCCAAGGCCATAGTAGCCCAAGACGAGGCCCGAGAGAGGATTCGGGTGATGGCTTACTACCTGTCCGAAGGTATCCCTCCGCCAGTGACTGGACCTCGGGAGGACACCTCTTGGGACGAGATGATGGAGCAAATGCAGATGGAGAGAGACCAAGATGGACCGAGAGCTGTTTTGGAAAGAGCCATGGCTGCTGGGAGAGAACAGAAGAAAGGGCCTGTCCCAATGCAGACAGAGCCCGAGGGTGGCAGAGCGACGCCACTACCTACCGCGGCGCCTACAAGCATGCCGCATTTTGGTACAGCCTGCCCTTCGACGCCTCCTCAGCGCATGGTTGGACCGGAGGCTTCCACTCCACCGGAGGTAGACAAGCCAACCTATACGAAGATCCCGACCAGGACGACGAGGACCTCCGAGCCATATCTTGCCTCCCCTGGGAACACTGCAGCTGGTACGTGTGGGACCCATGCCGGTGTAGGCAACTCTCCAGATCGCATGAGGCATCCGGAGCAAAGACAGGCAGATGCTCCGATTGGCCCACCTTCAGATGGAGGCCTTGCGGGCAAATTGGCTGCCAAGCGAGCAGGGACAGCCTTGAAGCCATTTGGCACCAAGGCTCCCAAGGAGGCAGGCATAGAGACAGTGCATCAGTCCAAGGAGACTCATCACGTGCCGGTGCACCATATTCCGGACGGCGAAGAAGCAGCAGAGGGCCCAGATTTCCTTCGCGAGCCTTCCCCAGGTCTGGGCAAGCTGGAATAGCATTTACAGCTTGTGGTGGTCCTGATCGATACCGGCCGTGTCATTGGGCTCTGAGGGCTGTTGCTCTGGGGTCTCCCGATGGTGAGGATGGTTTGCTTCTCTACATTGGGGTAGAGAATGCAAGCCACTCTACTCCCGGAGGCGATCCTGAGACCAGCAGCTATCAGATTCCCAAGGTGACTTCCTTTGTAGAAGCCAGCGGGTGTATAAAGGAAGATTCTGCCTTTGTACAGCAAGTGGCTGCCCCTTTTCCTGTACAGGTTGATGCAACGATTGAGTTTGCATTAATGCCAGGGCGTTTTCCCTTGCTCCATTGTCGGTTTCCTCCTCAATCCTCTCTTCGTTGCTTTCCTTGCCTCCAGCCCCTTCATTGGGCTCTTGATGGTGGTTGGAGGCAGGATATGTCTTCCTCGCGAGAGCAAGGCCCTCATTTGGCTTGTGGGGTGTCTCGCTCTCCCGTGCCTTTTCATTGCATGGACTTCGACGGCCCATCACATTCGGCCTTCATCTCACTCTCCGCACACAGCCTTTTCAAGCTCGCTATACTCCAGGCGCCAAACATCTGTATCGGTGGCTCAGGGACAGAGGCTGAGTATAGCTTGAGCAGTCAGTGCACAGTTTTTCTGGTTAGTTTCGCGGCATTCTTACTGCTCACACTTGGGGCCCTTTTGACCCGGCCTCTAAGGGGAGCTTTCTGTAGATGCTTTCGCCGCTCATCTGATGGGAAGGCAGGTTTTGTTTTCCTCACTGCCTTGCAACTGGCTTCACCTGCGCAGCCCATTCTTTCATGGCACAACCCAAGCCCGTGCCCGAAGCATAGGCGAAGGTGCCCAATCCCGCGCTCAGGAGGGGTCAAGTCGGCGCTTTGGAGGACCCTAGTTTTGTGCTTGGATTTCTCCGTGCCAGAATCAGTGTCAGGTCTTCACATTGCCTCCGCTTGGGTGTTCTTCCCAGTTGGGGCCTCTGCGATGACCAGAGCTCCTGCACCAGGAGACCCGCCAGGCATTCCGTACAGCACTCGTCAGCCATATCTGACTCCACCCGAGGAGCTCACTACCTATGTTGGTGCTTGTTCTGATGTTGCGCTTGGGGAGCTTTGGGAAGATGTCGAGGACGGTTGCTTGCGGCACATGCCCGTGGCCACCGATAATGAGCCCTGGGTTCCGGAGGCAACCTTGGGTGAGTGCGGCTCCGATTGGCTCGGAGTGTATGTTTACACGCCACACTATGTGACTCAACAGGTCGCTGTGAAACCGACCGAGAGAACCATGCAGGCAGTTGCCAAGGTTCTACACCTACATGCACCACTGAATGCTGGACCCATCTTTGACACCATCATTCCTACGAGACCTCAAAGGTTTGAAGGCTTCTTGTCGGTTGTTCGATTTTCCAGCTCGATCAGGTGCCCAGGTGCAGGAGGACAGGTGGCGATCCTTTTTGACCTCACACGGGTCGGAGGGAACTTTTTTGCAAGCATCCTCCCTCGTGAAATTCAACTCAGTGCTCTGCTTGAGTTTGTGCGTCCGCTTACCTCGTGCAGGGAGGCGATTTTGGAGGTTTTCGTAGGCTGCAGATCCAGACCATGGCCCTCCTGCGCAGTTGTAGACTTGCGTGATGGAGACACGGTGACAGTACTTCGACAACCTGCCGAAACCTTTGCGCGAAGACAGGCCGAGGCTTTGTTTTATGAGAAAGCCTTTTGGGATCATCCGCACAACATGGCCCGACTGACGTACCATGAATCTATGTGTGTGTTGTTTCGGAATCGCAGGTTTTCACTTCCGATCCAGCATCGTGCGGATCAGAACCTTGTGACCTACGTGTCCAACTGCCTGCAGGTTGACCCAAGCTGCACCCTGATGTGTAGCTTTCCAATCAAGGACCTTGACGTGCAGGGCGAATTAAGTACCTTTGTCATTGCTGTGGCTGAAGTGCCTTCGCCAGCTACGACAGGAGTTGATCGTAGTCACACTAGGGACTTGTTTGTCTTAATTGACCCTCGGCCTCTAGGAGTAAAACCACACTTTTTACTCCTACATCACCCGTCAGTGCACTTACCTGCTGTCATAGCCCTCCTCGGCCTCTCGACACCAGCTGCTATGCGTATTGGAGTGCATGGAGGCGAGCGTGAGGGGGATGACATTCGAATTAGGGAGAATGCTACTTTAAGGCTTTTCGCTGAAGAACGCCTTGACCCAACGACTCCAGAGGACACTTCTGAGTCAAGTTCTTCAGGGCAGGTTGAGGCTCATTTCTCGTCTGACATCTCCCCTGCGTGTGGGCCAGTATATGGGCAGGCTCCTGAAGGCTGTCTGGAGGTCGAGTGCGATCTTGCAGTTGGATACGCCAACTGGGGAGAGCAGCCAGATCTACCTCCTCTTCCTGCCTCCCTCCTTGACTCCACACTGCCTGCAGGGCACAGTTGGAACATTGGAGCAGAGGACGGCGAGCATCCTGCTCCAGACAACGAGATAGAGCCTCCTGTCCCAGAAGATCAGGACATGGAAGCAGAGGGACCAGCAGCAGCTCCCTCTTTCCTGCTGAATGCCTTAGTGTACATTCCAGACTATGTGCCTGAGGTTTTAGAAGTTCGGGTTGACTTGCCGATAGGGATCAGGGACTTTGTTGATATTGTGCAGCAACTTCGGTTTGCTGACCAGGTCGCAGGCTTCCCCCGCCTCTGTCCAGTCACACCGCAGCCTCTCCGCGAAATGGCAGTTTTTGTCGCGGCCCCCACCTGGTTGACCGATCTCGTGGTGGTGCTAATGGATTGCAGGCTTACCCAGTCTGGTTTCTTTGCTAGGACTATTCCTAGTCGCCTGAATCGCGAATCCATTCTGGTTGCTGCAGGTTTCAGACACGACGATGCGATCAGTGTGCACATTGATGGTCGCATCCGCCCGCTTGGCATTGACGAACGTGTTGCGTTGACCCATGGGCACACCATACACTTTGTGCCGAGGTACGGGGATGTGCCCAGGTGCTTTGAGCTTGCGGATATGCTGCTGTCACCACAAGGATGGGACCCCGAAGCACCCATGCCAGGGATTCAGTCTCATCTCAATAGCCACTTTCTCATCCTGTCAGATGCGGGTCCCTTCACCCTAGCGATCACGCCGAGAAGTTTTGTTGACTTCAAGGGTGTTCTGGCCGAAGCTGTAGGTGTGGCGGAGCATCGGCTCTACACTAAAGTTTCGGTGCCCCAGATCAAGGACTCCTACCGTTTTGGGTTCTGGGCCTCAGGAGTGATTGTTGCTACAGATCGCTTGTCGAGCATCCCATGCCCTCCGGCTGTCAGACCCGAGACCCGTAGGATCCTGATTCTTGATCAGCGCCGCATCCTAAGGGGATTTGCGTGGCAGGCAGTTGAAGGTTGTTTCGTAGATGTGCAGCTCTTGGCTGATGCATACTATGGAATATGCCCCCTGAGCCATGTAGTCACCTTTAAGGGTGCTGCCGTAGAGCATCGGGATGGACAGAGAGTCTTCTCCATCGTCAATGGACAAGTCATCACTGTCGAGTTCACAAGGGAGCAAGACACATCATCATCGGATGGAGACCAACCGCCCAACCTGAGTCCTCCACCAGATGCTTCAGATATGACAGGCGATAATGAGCCTGACACGGAACGTGGGAGTAATGTTGACAGAGGGACATCAGGGGCCGCGCCGGGCCAGTCTCTCACGCATCTCAGTGCGCGCAGTCGCTCACCACGACAACGTGCTAGCTCGCAAGGGCCTCCTCTTGTTGAAAGACAGGTCGAGAGACATGATAAGAGCATTGTTGCTGGCCGTTTGCCAGTACACTTGCTGCAAACCCGTCTCGGAAGCCTCGGTGTGCAGATAGACAATCTTGGATTTGCCAAGATTGCTGGTGTTCGTGTGAATAAGTGGAGCCTCGCCATGACGGAACACGCCCATGCTGTGGGCAGGCCAGGCCTCACCCCTATTCCTTGGACCCATTTGCATCCCGATCATTGCACAAGAGTCTTCTGTCTACAGGAATGCTTCTCGGCATTCGGGACTGCCGCCAGCACCTCCTTTCAGTCATCCATTGGGTTCCTGGGTTGTAAGCTCTTGGGGGAACCCGCCTCTGGAGGCCCTGGAGGTTCCGGAGGCTTAGATAGGGCACGGGAGGCTACTAGGCTTCTAGGCGGCCCTTGGCCATTCCCGCCCTACCGATGGCCCATTCTCATCCAAGAGGATGAGACAGATCCCATGCACATTGACACGGATGAGAGGTTCATGATAGACATCTCGGTCTATCTTCTGACACCTGACTACAAGGCAGAGCATCTTCCCCTAACCGTGCAGCTCCCGCAAACAGTGCAAGAGCTAGAGGAACTTGTTCAGACATGTCGTGAGGCAGACCGTCGTGTTCTTTTTCCAACCCTTATCGAGGTTAGCCCACAGCCTGACCCTGGGTGGGGGATCTTCCTGGCCGTCCCTGCTTGGACCAGCCAGAGGGTTGTCATCTGCTGCGACCTCTCCTTCTTCGACGGTCGGATCATCGCTGTCAGTGTTTCGCCTCTCACCGACTCTTTCAGCCTATGTGCCAGTGTAGGACTCGCACCAAGGGCAGAAGTTGACATTTTCCTTCCCGGAGCTGCAGCACCTCTGCCTCCAGGTGGTGAGGTTTTCTTGCAGAGTGGAACATGCGTTGCATTTGTGCGACCAGGTGCGCGTAGACACGCCACATTCGACCTGCAGCTTATGCTGAGATCGCACTTAGGGTGGGAGCACAGCCCAGTGTTTCCACATGCCACATTAGACAGCGATGGCTACTGTGTAGCCAGCTGCACTGGCCAGTTTCTTTTTCGTATGCTGCCGAATAGAGCCATGTACTACCGCTCTGACATTGCACTCCTTACCGGATTGCACCCAACACGGGTAGTCGTTACACCAGCTGCACCTCAGCCAGGAGATGTGTGTGTGTGTGCGGCTGGGAGTGTCGTGCTCTTGTGGCAGCGACTGACCGAGCTACCCGAGATGTGTGGAATGGTTCTCAGGAGACACCTGTAGTTGGCTTCCTAGATTGTAGGCCCCTACTCATAGGATGGCTGACCGTCTCCTCTTGGAACCCATGGCTACCACTTGATCCCATCAAGCAGGATCTTGACCAAAGTGCTCCGGTAGGCTGGCACACTGTCTTCCCGCAGCTTCCACCCCATTGGACTTGGACATGCTGGAGTGCAGGACAGATTTTGGTCGTCGCCTTTGCACCTGATGTCCCTCCACGGGGTAGGCAGCTTACAAGCGGCCCTCCCTGTGGTGACTCGTTCACATCAGATCCTTCTGCTGGCACTGGTCCTGAGGATACGAAGCAGACAGCCTTTTGTCAAGATATCCCGGTCCCAGGTGTCACTGGAGGAGCGGTTGACCTCTGCTATCGTGCTTTCCTTGCGTTGGCTTTCGCCACTGTTGCTTTTCCTGCATTGCTTCAGGGCGATATTGGACTGAGCATGCTTGCTTGTGGGTCCCTTCTGGTACATCGGCACCGATTTCCTGCCGTATTACTCTATGCCTTTGCTTGTAGCATCGCCACCACAGGTGATGCTGTCCTGGCTGTTCAGATTGGAGCAAAGTATGATGCACCCACTGCGGTTATGCAGGCCCGTGATATAAGTGGAGATTCCACATTTCGCGCAACTCACCCAGTTGGGGAACTAGACATTGGACAGCGCCTCAGGACCATTGCCACGCCATGCAAGGCCTCAGTACTAGGGCCACTCACGGACTCTCTTGTTACCCTCCTGGAGGAGAGTGCCTGGGACGCGGAATCGCGAGCTTTCTTTGAGGCCAGCACTTTGCTCGAAGTCCTTTTTGAACACTTTGTAAGCCCTGTGGTTGTAGGCGAAGGTGAAAGTGAATTCCCCTCCGCAGGGTCATCTACCTTGCTCCTATCGGAGCACTTCCCTGGTCCTCCATGTCATGATGTCTCTCCTGTGACCTTACGATTGGACACATGCCTGGACCAGACCATCTCTTGGTTCCAACAAGGTAGGTGGGATCTCCAGGTTTCCCTACCAGTAGGCCTTGTCATGCCAGCATGTGCGAAGGACATCATTACTAGCAAGAGTCCGTCCCATTGGGTGCCTGGGGCCCCTGGTGCCTTACAGGTATTTACTGATGGGTCCTTTGATGGCCTCAAATGTTCTTGGGCCTTCTGTGTTCTTGGGTATCAAAACGGCGCATCTTGTCTTCTGGGATGGGCAGCAGGCCAGGTACCTGAAGGCAGCAATCATCCTTTATATGTCTCGCCTGCTCGTGCCTCAGCCATTTGTGGTGAACAACACGCCCTCTTTTGGGCAGCGGTGTGGTGCATGCAGTCGCCGGCACATGCTGCTCTAGAGCTTTTTTCCGATTGCCTTGTTGCACTGAACCAAGTGACAGGCTCTTTCGGATGGAATGAGGGTGAGACCATGGCCCCAATTTGCAGGGCGGCCATGCAAGCCTTGCTTGCTGGCCGGCCAACGGTCAAGAGTCAAGTCCAACATGTGAGGTCCCATGAAGGCACACCCGCCAATGAGCTCGCTGACTCTTTAGCCAAGTTCGCCAATAAGTCCCCCGGTCTGCCAGTGCCTGACCACTGCCGATGGGTGGCACAGCCAGTCCGTGCAGGAGTACTCCCATGGTTGTGGCTGCAAGTTGAAGCGACACTTCGACCAGAGCACTGGCCGGCACAGGTAGGCTCCTCTCTTGTTGATCGGGACCGACATACAGATAGTACCCCCTTCACTCGGGAAGAATGCTATCAAGCCCTCGGCCTCAAGGCCCCAGAACACACAGAATTGATCCATCGGGAGATGTGGGGGAGGTTGCATTGCATCACGGTCAATGTTCAATCACTCGCCGAGTCCCAGGAGGCCTCGTCCCCAGAAGATCAGTCTGGCTTTACAGGGAGGGCCAGATATCTGAGGGAGCAACTGCAAGCGATGGGTGTGCATGTTGCGGCCCTACAGGAAGCGAGATCTTCGGTCGACACAACATACGTTTCCGACTCTCATGTCCGATTCTGCACCGCCAGAGACCCCAAGGGCAATTTCGGATGTGAACTCTGGTTTTCTAGGAAGATACCTTTTGTGTCCACTGCAGGCACACAAGCTTTCTTTCATCCGAATGATTTCCTCACAGTTGCCAGCGGGCCTCGAGAACTACTGGTTCGTTTCTCGCGTGCTGGGACTCACATCCTCTTCGTGTGCATCCATGCGCCGGTTGGGGGCAGCCCAGAGCGAGAGCAATGGTGGAAGGAGCTCCGACATCGGATTCGTCGCTTCAGCCGCAATGCTTTGGTATTTCTTGCCGGAGATTTTAACACAGGTTTCCACTATAAGATACCCTCGCGTGTTGGGGATCTTGTCTGGAGCTCAGCATACGGTGCCCCAGCTGGTCTTGAGGGCATCCTTGCAGATCAAGATCTTTGGATCCCCAGCACCTTTTCTCAATGTCACACCGGCAGCCACGACACTTGGCTTTCACCCAGTGGCACTACTGGGGCTAGACTGGACTACTTTGCTGTTGCGGCATCTTGGTTCGTCCCAGATGCTAATTCCTGGGTTGACACTTCCCTTGACTGGGGACAGTCCAGGGTCGATCATTTTGGCCTTGGGCTCGTAGCCCTTTTTCCTTTGAGACTAGGCAAAGGCCGGGAGCCTCTGACTGTCAAGTACGACAGGGAAGCCCTACACACTGAGGAGGGGCGGTGTATGCTGGCCAGCATTTGCGAGCATATACCCCTGCAACCTTGGACGAGCAATGTACATAGGCACTATGCTCAAATTGAGGCACACATAGGTCAGGCCCTCAGTGTTGCATTTCCATCCAAACGTGGAGTCTGTCGATCCTCACATTTTTCAGCTGCAACCTGGGATCTGCGCCAGCGGCGCTCCTGGCTTCGCAAACAAATCGCGAGGGCCAGCACCGCCCTTAGCTCGTTTGACCTGAAGGCGGCCTTTCTGGGCCTTAAATCTGGGGTTCGGCTCCGTGCTGGAAGGGTGCTAGCCGTTCTGAGAGGACTTGCTGGTTTCCGCAGCTTGCAGGGGCTTGTCCAGGAGATGCGGGTGACGAAAGGCGCCCTACGGCATCACATACGGCAGGACATCAACAACAGGGTTCGGGAGACTGCTGCGCTTGCAGCTACCTCCTCCAAGTCAGATGTTGTTTCCAGGCTGCGCCCCCTACTTGGCCCACCCAAGCGCAAGGTCCGCCAGCGACGGGCCCTACACGGCATCTGCCATCCTAATGGGGAGCCCACGCAGACCCCTGAAGAGGCAGAGGACGTTTGGATACGGCACTTTGCCGGCATTGAGGATGGGGAGAAGATTGACCCCCTGCAGCTTGTTGAGACTTGCCACCTCTTCCAGTCAGAGAAGGACCTGGATGCCTATGAGCTCACAACGGACAGCCTGCCCACGCGGACAGAACTTGAGCAATCCCTCCGTAGCACACAGACCAATCGAGCGATTGGCCTTGACAAGGTACCAGGGGAAATCCTGCACTTTGCAGCTGGACAGGTCTCGGTTGCCCTTTTCCAGTTATTCCTCAAGGTGTCCATGAGGGCAGCTGAACCCATTCAATTTAAAGGTGGAGCTCTCTTCGCCATCTGGAAAGGGAAGAGCTCTGCTACACAGTGTTCTGCGCATAGGGGTATACTAGTTAGCTCGACGCCAGGAAAGTCCTTTCACAGAGTCGCCAGACAACGGGCGATCCCCGCGCTGCAGAACATCGCCTCAGACATGCAGATTGGAGGACTGCCGCACTTTCCTGTCACCATGGCATCTCATTTCGTCCGAGCCTTTCAGGAAGGTTGTGCACAGCGCAAACATAGCTATGGCCTCCTCTTCCTGGATTTACGCGAAGCGTTTTACCGCGTAGTGCGCCCCTTGCTCACGGGCACCTCCTTTTGCGATGAGGCTGTGGCGCAGGTGGCGAGGAGTGTGAGGCTCCCGCCTGGAATTATGCATGAGCTTCACAAGCACCTGCACGACTCTTCCCTGCCGGCAGCTGCCGGGGCAACCGACTGGGCTTCCGCACAGGTCTGTGAAGCCATGCAGAGCACGTGGTTTAGGTTCCAGGGCAGTGACACAGTTGTAAAAACAGGCACAGGTTCCAGGCCGGGTGATAACCTGGCAGACGTCTGTTTTTCGTTCATTTTCGCAAGAGTCTTGAACGATATTCGCTGTGAGGTCAAACAGGCAGGGCACCTGCCCACAGTGCCGTGGTCGGAGGAGATGTTGTGCAGTCTTCAGACAGTTGATCCTGGCCTTCGCACCAAGGAGGCCCTTGACGCGACTTGGATGGATGATGCCACTTTTCTGGTCGTGGCAGATACCGCTGCCGATCTGCCCGGGGCTATGGCCATCACAAGCAAGGCCGTTTTGGATGCCTGTGTCTCACGGGCGCTCCTTCCTAACTTAGACAAGGGTAAGACTGAACTCATTGCGCATGTTGTTGGTGCAGGGTCACGAGGTGTGCGCAAAGACCTGTTTTCCCTGCCCGACGCCTCATTGGCCATCCCGTGCAAGCTTTGGGAGGGAGCAAGCATCCGCCTTGTTCCCACTTATCAACACCTTGGTGGTTTTATCCACCACGATGCCTCGTTAGTACGGGAACTAAGGCATCGTGTCGGGGCCGCTTGGAAGGCTTTCAACGCACGGAAAAAGAGGGTTTTCAGTTCGCCCACAGTTTCATTGCAGGACAAAGCCATTTTATATGAGTCTTTGATCCTCTCCATTCTCCTTCATGGGGCCGGATCATGGAGAGCTCTCAGCTCTGCTGAGCTCTCCATCTTGGAACAGGCCCATTTTGGGATGGCTTTCTTTATGGTGCGACCTCTGCACACACATGAGGAGGCCCTTCACTTGGGTGGCCGACAGGTGCTTGCCATCCTACGTCTTCCCACTGTTGAGACGTTGTTGCATGTAGCCAGGCTTCGGCATTTGCTTTCGTGCATCCGTGCGCCTGTTCCGGTTTTCTGGGCCATTCTTCACTGGCAAGGTAGTTGGCTGCACGCGTGCCGACGGTCCCTGGAATGGATGTGGGAGCATGTAGACTGTGGAGAGTCTGCCCCTTCATGGCAGGCATCCTGGCAAACGTGGCAAGAGCTCTGCCTCCAACAGCCTCGCAGATGGAAGAGCCTTGTTCGTAGGGCACAGGTGCAGGCTGTTACACAAGAGTCCTGCCAAGTGGCGATGCGCCGACATTTGGGTCTGGTATGCCGACAGCTTCGGTGTGCAGGCGCGACTCTACCGGGCATCGTAGCCAGTGATCGGCACCACGTGCACTTTTGTGCGCCTTGCTCACAGCTTTTCCAGACATACCAGGCCTGGAGTGTTCATGCCTTTAAGGTTCATGGACACGTGACTGAGGGCAGGAAAATCCATGGGGGCACTCAGTGCCAGTCCTGCCTTCGACACTTTTCGACCCATGTTAAGCTGTGCCGACACCTCAATCACAGTCGTGCTTGTCGCCTGCATTTGCATGAGGCGGGTCTAAGCTGTCAGGCAGAACCAGGCCAAGGTAGCCGAAAGGCGCCTGATGAGGGCAAATTTCAGGCCCCGTCTTTGCAGGCTCAAGGGCCGAGGCTGTCCCATGGAGCAGGAGCATGGTATGAGTACCTTGACCGACCATCGGCTGAGGTCATGGACTGTCTTGCAGTCCTTGACTCGGGGCTCTCTCAGACACAAGTGAGTAGGGAGGAAGCTTGGGAAAGAGCTCGGATAGCCTTTGGATGTGTATGCCTACCTGTAAGGAAGGTTCTAGCAACTGCCTCCTCTTGGAAGCAAGCTATCTTGGAAGGGACCATGCAGAACACATTTGCTCCAAGTCTCCTGTGCGAAATCGCGGAGTGGATACAGGAGGCTGACCTGGCAGCTTGGCTTGTTCCTTCTCCCATCTCCAAGCCACCAGCATACACTACCTTCAGGGATGCTTCTCTCATCCTCGATTTTCTGGACACGGCTTCGATTTCCGTTCCAGTAACCTCCCCGGTTCTTGACAGCACACTTGTATGCGTCGGCACGGGATCCTGGACTTCCTCATTGGGTTCCTTAGGTCCCAATTCCCTCTCGTTCACACACGAGGAGTGCTTGCGGTCCCTACATGAGGGTACCGTTCCGTCCTTTTTTGAAGGACCTTTCCACGACACCGTCTTTCTGATTTCGGCCCTTGGACTGCTGTCTTGGCAGGACCTCCCGACTGCTCCTGTCCGTCCCAAGGCCCTATTTCAGAAGCTGTCAAGAGCCATCTTGGCCTGTGACCTTTTTAGGCTGGCCCTTCGACTCTGGCTCTCCGGCATACCGACGGCCTTTTTCTTCTCCAGTCACGATCGCATAGTTCCCCAACCAGTCCGCTCGCTGCATCTCCTAGACTTTGTCCAGTTGAGAGGCGCCTGCTGTCTGCGTTTAAGAGGAGCCGATTGGGAGCATCTACCAGTCTCACTTTTTAATTAAATGTTTGCAACAAAGGGCTGCAACCGAATATGGATTCAACGCCCAGAAAGAGCGAAAGAGCGAAAACCTCACTTATAACCCCAGATACTAAGTCCCATGATCTTTTAAGTAGGTAACCGGGCTTCCTGGTGTGCAAAAACCTGAAAAAACACGAAATACACATTCACACTAACCCTGCAATGCAAAGCTTGTCGTAGGCCCTGCATACTCAACCACCCAAAAACGGGTCCACATAGAACTAGCGTTCTGCAAGTAGGCCCCAAAAGATCATCCGAAAATATCCTAGTCGTAGTTCGCGGGACCCGGATTCCACAATAATAGTATATGAACATGCACCCTGATGGGTTCAAATGTTAACACCCCTAAACCCTAAACCCTAAACCTCAAACCCTAAACCCCTAAACCCCTAAACCCTTACCCCGTTCCTGCCTGGTGCCGCAGCTGCCATTTCGATCTGCGCGGCAATGAAGATGGAGTTGGTCACGATGATGAAGCCGAAGAATGCTTCAAACCTGAGGCTTGTTGGGTTTCCCTCATGCTCCTTGTACCTTGGTGTGTACATATAAGTCGTTCTTAAAGTATCTGTAGAGGAGACCCTTTAAGTGCCTAAGTACATTCTTTTCAAGAGTGCTTGGAACCTCGGTTCGGGGGTGTAGGGTTTAGGGCTCAGGGCTTGCAGTCCGTTTCGGGTGTCTATGTCTGTGGATTTGTAGGGTCTGGGGCTTAGGATTGGGTTCAGGGTTTAGGGTTCAGGGTTTAGGGCTTACAGTAGAAGCCCAAAAGTCGGCAACCCAATAGCCTGAATCCTTAAGAGCACTGTGTGCCATGCATAGGGGATCCCAGCACGAATTGTCCTTAATTTAATCGGTTTCTCGCATCTGTGCTTTGGCTATGTGCGGTTTAGTGCCTTTCGGGGATCTATGTCTCGGGATGTGCAGGGTTTGGGGCTTAGGATTGGGTGTAGAGTTTAGGCTTTTAGGGTCTAGGGCTTAGGGGAAGGTACCCCGTCCTTGCTTCATTGTGGGTTCGAGGATCAGTGCTGCTGCTGAGGATTCAGTATTTCTCGTGTTCTCGGCTTGGCTTGAGATTGAAGTGAAGCCCCCTGCTTGCCTAGGAAATCGCACGTTTTAGGGTTTAGGGTTTAGAGTTACCAGCTAAATCCCTAAATCCCAAAGACCTGTGCTTCTGCATCGCCACCGGAACCCCCTAAGGGCCCTGAACCCTAAAACCAAACTCCTGAACCCCATGCAAGCCCTAAACCCTGAAACCACACATCATCCTATGGAGATCGTGTGAAGCAACCAAAAACCCATGAGATGTTCTATATTCTATATATATATATATAAGGAGACAGTGCTAGACCTGGGAAAACGTCAAAACTGACAATGCAGCCGTGCACAAACCCCACACGGATAAGCGAAAAGGCAACACAACAGACAACAAACCCTAAACCCCGTAAGCCAAGATTTCCGAAGTGGAACATACTAGACAGCATATAGGAAACATGCAATGATCTGAATGCTCATCAAGCTGTCATAAACCCCAAACGAAGAAACCCGGAACGCTGAACCCTGCAAGCCCCGACCACAACCGTGGGAAACCCCTATACATGACCTTGACATAATTTAAAGAAGCTACAGGTGGGGAGTTTAGGGCATATAGGGCTTCTATAAGGTATACAAGATCTTTTATAAGGCTCCTGTAACGGCAACTACCCACCTGAAAATGTCCTAGAATAATCTCTGCAGAACATTATTCAACATGCCCAAACCCGGAAGGCCTTAACCCGGAACCCTAAATCCCAGAGTACCCCTAAAGAACCCTGGAGGAAACCTCTAAAGCGACCCAAACAGGACCTGTTTTTTTAGGAACAAAGCCCTGAACCCTTAACTCCTAAGCCCTCAACCCCTGAATCCTGAACCCTCCGGTTGATGGTATAAATCTTGCATGACCCATAATCAGGAATATACCATAGTTCCCATAGCTTAGGGTCTTAGGGTCCTTAAAGTCATGCAGGATTTATATCATCAAACCTAAACCCTAAACCCTAAACCCCTAAACCCGAAACCCTAAACCCTAAACTTTCAGAAATAAAGCCGAAGGGCAGTCCAGACTTCACAAAGGGCCAGAGCTTTTTCTGCCAGGAGTAGAGATGTGCTGGCGGCGCCTGATTACCACCGGGGTCCTTAAAGTTTTAGGGTTTAAGGGCTTCCTAAAGCCCAAGCCCTAAACCTTAAACCCAAACCCTAAACCCGAAACGTTTTAGGGTCTAGGGTTTCGGGTTTCGGGTTCCCGAAGGGTCCACATACTCAACTATTAGGGTTTAGGGTTTAGGGCTTATAGGGTTTAGGGTATAGGGGTTTAGAGTTCAGGGTTTAGGGGTTTACGGGTTGTAGGGTTTAAAGTTTTGAATACAGAATATTGTTGATTGTATGGAATGTTGAGATCTAAAAACACTACCGGTACTTGGACCCTCTGAATTGATCTCCTTGAAAGAGCTGCTTGAAAGGGGTTCCTGTAAAAAGGGGCTTCTAGAGTAGCCTCCGCAGTTCGAAGAGGGCTCCTTTCAAGGGTTCCTTTAAGGGCTCCTTTCCAGGCTTCCGCTTCAGGGTTCGACAAGTTCGATAACATGGAGGCGCCAGATATACTACGATTATGGAACTTAGGCCCTGAACAACATAATGAGGATGGTCTTTTGGAGCCTATAATTCCATAATGCCGCTATAGGCTTTAGGGGTCGGGGGTGTAAGGTTATGGGGTGGGTGGGTGGGTGGCTGGCTGGGTGGGTGGCTGGGTGGCTGGGTGGGTGGGTGGGTAAAGGGGTCTTTAAGGCTATTTGAGGGTTGTAAGCGGTTTGGGGTATGATTTTTCGGGGTTCAGGGTTTGAGGGTTCAGATTCTACTCGGTTATACAAGAGGGTATGAAACGGGCTTTCAGGCTTCAGAATCAGAAGGTTATACAAGAGCTTTACAAGGTCTTAAGATTTACCTGGACCCTAAAGAACCTACCTTTTTAGGGTTCTTTACTATGATTTCTTTATCTAAGCCCTTAAAAAGCGTAGGTTATTTGGGGTTAAGTTTTAAAGCCAATTTTTACGGGCTTGGTGCCGACCACCCTGCCCAGGAGGGTCTCCTCGATGAGCTGTATCTTCTACTGCAGGCGAGAAGCCTTGGACCCCATGTACCCAGAGACTCCAAAACCCCCTTACTTAAGGGATATACCTTAACTCCTATTCGGGCTCCTACTAGAATTTAAGGTATACTCCTTAATTCAGGAATATACCTTAGATCCTACTATAGGGTTCCTATAATGATTTAAGGTATATTCCTTACTTAAGGGGTTTGGGAGTCTCAGGGTAGGTCGGACTCTCAAGCCAAAGGCGGTCGAGGTTCACCGGGTAGGAAGTCCTGGTTCACATTCTCCAGGAGCTCGTCGGTGGCGGGGTACTTAAAGGATCATGGGAATTAGTAACTAGGGTTATTAATAAGGTAACTATACTTATAATTACTTATAACCCCAATTAAGGTACTTCTAACCTTACTTACTAAGTCCCATGAGCCTTTAAGTAATGCGAAGACGCGCAAAGGGATCCCGAGCACCAAGTGAAAGCTTGATGACTGCAACTTGCTGTGCCAAAACCTCCTTGGGTTTAGAGTTTAGGGTTTAGGGTTTACCTAGACCCTTAAATGTAGTACCTTTTATTGGATGACCTATTAAAAATGGTACTACATTTAAGGGTTTAGGGTTTAGGGTTTAGGGTGTTTCAGCCTCTGCGCCCAGCTTGTAGCTGCGGATCTGAATTTCCAACAGCACGCCCATTTGCTCCATTTCTTCTTGGTTCCTGAGTAGCCCCTTTAAAATAAGGGTACCCTTTTTCCTACTATTCGGTTTTAGTAACGGGGCCCTAAAATAAAAAGGGCAAAAGGGTACTACTCAGGGACCTAGTCTTCGCGAGTCATGAAGCTCGCAGCCCTCTCCGCCTCCCATGCTGCAACCTGGCTCATCAACTCTTGTTTTTGCTGCTCAGCAAAAGACCCCCCAACCAGTTGGTGGTGTGATCCCTATGCCCATGGACTACGACTATCTCCAACTGGCAATCAACAGCAGCTTGACCAACAAAGTAGTGGGCTCTCTGCGTACTCCTCTTCGACGCAGGTTTGCGTTCTCACTGTCAACCTGATTCTTGGTCGCACCCCAAAGCTCTGCATCAGACGTTTATAAGCATATAGGGCTTAAGGCTTTAGGTCGGGGCTTGCCGAAATAACCACCCTAAACCCTAAACCTTAAACCTTAAACCCTAAACCCTAAACCTTAAACCCTAAACCCTACAAATCCTAAACCCTCAACTTTATATAAACTCTTCACCCTAAACCGTTCATTGATAAGCAAAGGTACCCCAAGCAGGTCTGAAGGTGCCCAAGTAATCGAGGCCCCAGACGCCCTGAATAGCCCGAGCGCAAAAAACAAACATGGGATCCATAGACTTTCGGGTTTAGGGTATAGGGTTTAGGGTTGGGGTTTAGGGATAAGGGTTTAGGGTTTAGGGTTTATAGGGTTTAGGGTTGGGGGTTTAGGGTTTAGGGGTTATGAAATCCTAAACCCTAAACCCCTAGTGTAAAAGACATGGGTTCGATATTATGAAGCCATCATGAGCCCCTTACAAGGAGGCCGTGATAAGGCTCCAAGGACTCATGTTTTAAGGCTTTTGGGCCCAAAGACCATACTATATAAGGCCTTTGGCTATATTTTGAGCCTTAGGGTAAAATCCTGAACCATAGAAGCTCGCTGCCTCAATGTGTACGGTTTGGAGTACTATGCAGAAATAGCCCTGAACCTAAAGCCCCAAACTCCAAAACACGATAATACAATTTGCCACTCAACCCTTTCTGTAGCCCCATACCTTACAATATAGCAGGCTATGACCCCTTGTCTATA